GAGTAATTGTCTCTCAATTAATACAATCCTTAGAAAGAAAGAACTTAAGTCAAGTACCGGTTCAACTTGAAGTGCCTTATGATTGTGAACTCCAGTTCCAGATACTTGAATCAGTGCAATTGAGTCTGGTGTGTAGGTTTCATCTGCTGAAGCTTTCTCTTCCACGCTGTTTTTGTACCCAGAGCTCAAACCACCCTAAACATTCGCATTCAAATCATATTAAGCACTGTGTTTTCTCTTCAGAGACATACATCATCTTGTAAACATCATACAAATTACCTTTAGGATAATCATAGGCTGGAACAGAGCAACAAACTGTGGAGGCTCTTTACCCTCGTAGATACTACCCTGCCAAAAAAAGCTAGTCATTATTTTTGATCTTTTCTAGTAAACTTCATCATTGCTGTTCATGGAATAACATTGTACCTGCACAGGTCTTCCTTTTAACGAGTTTGACATTGTATTCGCCAGTCTAAGTGCTGTTTCTTGGTCCTCCTGGATAAGAGAGAACCCAAACAACATTATGTTCATAGATCTGAGACATATAACAGTACACCTACTAACATCGGGAACCAATACTGCATACTTTAGCCATGATGTGCATTAAAATTTAACTTAATGCTATTCTTCCCAAACCAGCAGCACAAGAAAAACTCGTCTTTCCTATCACCAGAATGATAGGTGTAAAGGACCAAATAGCAGTCCCCAGAATAGAGCTTGCCAATATCTTCTTTAGGCAACGGAGTCTTGACTTTGCCATTAACATACCAAACCTAATACATAAGCATAACAAAATATCAAAATGAAATGGTGCAATGCATTAATAGTAATTCAAGACTTAAAAAAAAAAAACACTGTTAATGTTTTTTTTTAATGATTTTGAGTTTCAAAGTGGTGGTTTTACCAGCGACTTTTCCTCGTCCTTCTTCATTACTAGGAGCGGCTGAGCCTGAAGGCCAAGAATCAAAGTTAGACTTGAAAGAGTGAGACTCGTAACCTTGAATGACACGAGTAACTCTTGTCGCCTTTGGCCTGTTTTCACTAGCCAGATACTCCTGGAGATGAAAGGTAAAAAGAAAGTGAGAAGCCATATAAATATGAAAGTAGGTTTACAGATTTTTACCTCAGCAGATTGACTAGCAGCTTTCCTCTCATCCACTTGAGTTACTCGGCCAACCCAAATAAAGACCTCAGCACCACAGTCCAAGAGGTAACATTTAGTGTTTTCCAGCATAGACTTGGTTAGATCACCGTCTATAGGCTCCATCTGACCATCATTGATGCTAAACAAAAAGAGTAACAACATATCAAATACATCCCTCATAATATAGACACTAATGTACAAGATATAATAGATGTAAATCAAAGAGAAGACGAGTACCTGTAAAGCTTAGGTGGAGTTTAGAGTGAAACAAACACCAATACAAAATCCTAATACAGTAAAGGATGAATTAACCAACCTGTTATTGTTATTAAGTAAGTTCTTGACGGCGACTTTGGTACCGTCAGTTAAAAGGCCACGATACACAATCCCGTAACCTCCTTCTCCAATCACATTCTCTTCACACAGCCCATTCGTCGCCGCCTCCAGCTCCCTCAGAGTATACCATCTTCCCCACCCCAGATGCGAAACCTCTGGCCCCACGTTCCCGCTCCCTGAAAACGACGCCGTCTCGCTGGCACTCGCAGCCGTTCCTCTGCTCTCCCCACTCGACGAGAACTCCACTCTATGCTCCATCTTCCCTATATCCACCATGATACCATCTACAAGATACTATTCCACTTACACTTGATCATCATCGCTTTGTTTCTTTCTTACAGTGCTTCCCCAAGGATCTTTAGGATCAACTTTAGCTTCCTTATCAAGAAGAAGCTCAACAACATCCTTCAAACCCTGACTAGAGAAGGAGCTTGGCGAGCTGGCTAGAGAAGGAGAGTACCAAAACGATCCTTGACCGTCGATCGTACCATTGTTTCCTGCAATAATATCATCAAGAACTCAACAAAAGCATAGGCAAATATCAAGAACTCAACCAAACAAACTAAGCAATAGTTCATCTAAGATGAATAAGACATCAC